AGTTAGCCTATCTGTACCTAGACTTCAAACTGAAGAATGTAGCTAGATAGTTAGCCTGTCTGAATATAGACATCAAACTGAAGAATGTTTAGTAATGTTGTAGCTTGATAGTTAGCCTATCTGTACATAGACTTCAAACTGAAGAATGTAGCTTGATAGTTAGCCTGTCTGTACATAGACATCAAACTGAAGTATGTAGCTTGATAGTTAGCCTGTCTGTACATAGACATCAAATTGAAGAATGTAGCTTGATAGTTAGCCTATCTGTACATAGACATCAAACTGAAGAATGTAGCTAGATAGTTAGCCTGTCTGTACATAGACATCAAACTGAAGAATATTTAGTAAGGTTGTGGCTTGATAGTTAGCCTGTCTGTACATAGACATCAAACTGAAGAATGTAGCTTGATAGTTAGCCTATCTGTACATAGACATCAAACTGAAGTATGTAGCTTGATAGTTAGCCTATCTGTACATAGACTTCAAACTGAAGAATCTTTAGTAATGTTGTAGCTTGATAGTTAGCCTATCTGTACATAGACTTCAAACTGAAGAATGTTTAGTAATGCTGTAGCTTGATAGTTAGCCTATCTGTACATAGACATCAAACTGAAGTATGTAGCTTGATAGTTAGCCTGTCTGTACATAGACATCAAATTGAAGAATGTAGCTTGATAGTTAGCCTATCTGTACATAGACATCAAACTGAAGAATGTAGCTTGATAGTTAGCCTATCTGTACATAGACTTCAAACTGAAGAATCTTTAGTAATGTTGTAGCTTGATAGTTAGCCTGTCTGTACATCGACATCAAACTGAAGAATGTTTAGTAATGTTGTAGCTTGATAGTTAGCCTATCTGTACAGACATCAAACTGAAGAATCTTTAGTAATGTTGTAGCTTGATAGTTAGCCTATCTGTACATAGACATCAAACTGAAGAATGTAGCTAGATAGTTAGCCTATCTGTACATAGATATCAAACTGAAGAATCTTTAGTAATGTTGTAGCTTGATAGTTAGCCTGTCTGTACATAGACATCAAACTGAAGAATGTTTAGTAATGTTGTAGCTTGATAGTTAGCCTATCTGTACATAGACTTCAAACTGAAGAATCTTTAGTAATGTTGTAGCTTGATAGTTAGCCTATCTGTACATAGACTTCAAACTGAAGAATCTTTAGTAATGTTGTAGCTTGATAGTTAGCCTAGATTCTTCAGTTTGATGTCTATGTACAGATTTCATAAGATTGTGGCTCGTCTGATAGCTTTAAGATAAATATGGGATAGTTCATTTGATTTACCAATTTACCAGAATTCCAGGAATACAAAAGCCTGGTTATTGAAGGGTTAATGTTAAGTTTTAAAGTAATAATTTTTATTAATTGAACTAGTAAATGTTTTACTATTGTTTTTAGCCTTTTGTAATTTGGTAGCATATTGTAGAATTTGAACCCTCTAGGCTTATTTGTATTAAGTAATTTACTTGGACTGTCACCATGTTAGATTCTGCTGTTTACTAAACATCTCGCTCCTGTAGAAGGCTTAGGTGTTTAAGCTGAAAGCTTGTGCATTAAAAAAACTAAAATGTGGTGGTAGTCCAAATAAATCACTTGGTACTCGTGTTAAAAGGCTGAAAAGTTACTTATCTTCAGGCTTATATTAATGCCTATGTGCATGTTTGTTACACGCTATAAATTTTTTACTTCCGGATTGATCTATTTTAATGATCTCCACAGATTTATTATCTATTTTCTACAGTAATATACACAATTTTTAAAGTTAGATGATATTTTTTTATGTTCTGTAGTACAGCTTGACAAAGTTTAGTGAGTTCTTTGGTATTCTTGTTTGTTTAAAATTCACCAAAATATTATTTGATGTTTTTTTTTCTAGCTCGATAAGAAGAATAGAGCAAAGATCACCGATCTTGGATTTTGTAAACCAGAGGCCATGATGTCTGGAAGCATTGTTGGCACTCCAATTCACATGGCTCCAGAATTATTCACAGGTCACTATGACAACAGTGTGGATGTTTATGCTTTTGGAATTCTTTTCTGGTACCTACGTGCTGGTCACGTAAAACTTCCTTATATCTTTGAACAGTGTCAAACAAAAGATCAACTATGGAAATGTGTTCGAAAAGGTAAGTATTTTCCAGTATACCTTCATAAGTTATTGTTGTAATTATCAAAGTAGAAACTACAAGATATAACATCAACAAAAATATTGATTTCTAAGTTGAATATTTGAACTACCTTAATTTTTTTTAAATTCATACCTGTTTCTTTGGTATAACATTTTTATTAAAGCTTGGCTGATAACCACAAATCCTGGTTGTACAGCTATCCACTACCAGTTGAAACCTTCTTAATTTGTGGTTATCAGCCAAACTTTAATAACCTGGTTGTACAGCTATCCACTACCAGTTGAAACCTTCTTAATTTGTGGTTATCAGCCAACTTTAATAACCTGGTTGTACAGCTATCCACTACCAGTTGAAACCTTCTTAGTTTGTGATTATCAGCCAAACTTTAATAACCTGTTTGTACAGCTATCCACTACCAGTTGAAACCTTCTTAATTTGTGGTTATCAGCCAAGTTTTAATAACCTGGTTGTACAGCTATCCACTACCAGTTGAAACCTTCTCTGTTTAGATGACATGTTAATAAGGTCTAAAGTTTTCATATTTATATTTGTAATTGCATAATTATTGTTATTTATGTTGTTAAAATTAATGAGCAAAGTTATCATCAAGAAATTGTTAATAATTTGAATTTTGTGTTTTCCAAACAATTTTTAGCAAATTCTTCTGGGATTCAATTATTTAATTACTATAGATTTAACAAAGAAAATACACACTCATTTATCTAATAGATTTTCACCTAAATTATGCTCAATAGAAATATCTTTCATTGAAAAGTTTCAAACAGGAGTGTTTATGATAATCTGTAGGTGCTCGACCAGAAAGATTGCCACAGTTTGACAACGAAAGTTGGCAACTCATAGAAGAATGCTGGTCAAGTGACCCCATAAAGCGTCCTCTACTAGGTAATGTTGAATCAAGATTGATGGCTATAATGGATTGTCATCGCTCCACTTCAACAGCAAATGGACACCAAGACAGTCACAGACGGTCATTGTCATACAGACGCAGACACGTAGCACGCAACTACTATGCCAGATGAGCCTCTAAACTATTCTATTTCTAGGTAACTGGTCTTCATTGCTCATTTACTGAACTAGTCCACGTACGGTTCAGAACATCCACACATTGGGTGTTATCGGACTTTCGGATGTTAAATCCACTGAAGTAAATTTTTTCTCAGGATGGATGGAAGCAAGACTGAGCTGATGTAGCGTAACAAGATTTATATTTTCTGCACATTTGAATCTGTGTCACTTTCTTTCCTTCACTTTGTGAAATGGTGTTAATTTTGATAAATAACAATTTATAAAACGTAAGAACTTTTGTTTTAATTAAATCTTTGATTTTGTGAGAATATTCCATTTTGAAAAGCTGGTTTACGCAAAGTCAAATGAACTTATGATAATTAATTTTGAATGTGCAATAAATATCTCATTCAACTACCTCGGTGAGTGAAATATCTTTGAATTTTTCATATGAAAAACAATTTTTTTTACTATAGAATTAATTTTAATTGGTTTTTAGTTAAACTAAATAAAATTGCTGTGTGTGAATACGATGTTTGAGTTGCTTAAAAATGTGCTGAGCCAATTAAACTTGTAAAGCATTTCTACGTAATATTTGTAAATTTGTATATTTCCACTCTTGACATACCAAGATATGGGGAACAGTGTATCTCTGGATGTACAAGAAATGGGGAACAGCGCATCTCTGAATGTACAAGAAGTGGGGAAGGATATAGAAGCCTTGTATTTGGTTAATGCCTAACTTAAGTTCACTAGATCAAACGTGACGATTGAATTTAATTCCTTTTTTTTCTGTTTTATATCATTAATGCTCCTTGATGTTATACACAAACTATTCAGAAGAAAGTTTCATGGATGTACTTACGTTTCTACCTCTCTCTTATTTTGTTGTTATTAGTGAAATTCAACACCTTTATGTTGCTATGATACTAAAGTCAGTGGAGAGACGTTTTAAACATTTTTAATTTTGATCTGTACACATTTGTTTTATAAAAATAATAGTTAGTTGAGTTGATTTCAGACTAACTTGTAAAGGTTGTTCTACAATGTTTTATATTAAATCAAACATCTAACAATTTACCAGTATCAATAATGATACCGATATCTTCCAGTGCATGTATTTTTTATACTATGATAAAATAAAATTTAGTGAAATTTCCATTAAAGATCAGAAACTTGTCATTTTTCTGTTTCACCTTATACAAAACGTCTTGTATATAATAACATTGTAAGCAACAATTTCAATGTTATAACTTATATTAGCTAGAGGGAGCTGCTAACAATGATGTAATAATAATAATTAGGCAAACAATGATTTATAAGCATTATGAAGAAATTTATTGGTGATGGAATATACTACATGTTTTGAAAGAATATTGGTTTGTCTTCAGGTATAATCTGTGAACATTGGTCTCTTCTTCAGGTATAATCAGTGAAGATTGGTTTGTCTTCAGGTATAATCAGTGAACATTGGTCTGTCTTCTTCAGGTATAGTCAGTGAAGATTGGTCTGTCTTCTTCAGGTATAATCAGTGAACATTGGTATGTCTTCTTCAGGTATAGTCAGTGAAGATTGGTCTGTCTTCTTCAGGTATAGTCAGTGAAGATTGGTCTGTCTACTTCAGGTATAATCAGTACTGAGTATTACAAGGTTTATACAATGTTACCAAGACAACAAGGATTAAATGGTGTCAGCAGGTGACAGGATATTGGTAGAGGTCAAATCTGATCAAGAGTATGAACGGTGGCTGATACTGCTATCGCCGTTATCACAGTTTGCTTTGGTGGTTTCTATAGTTTCTAAACAATCTCTTTTCTTTAATAGTTTTAGGTTGGTGTTGGAAAAGAATTTCATCCCAAAGTGTTATGAGACCTGTTTGACATTGATGATATGTTAAGGTAAATATATGGAATTCAGCTCCGTGCACGTGACCTTGGTGTTCTTTGTGTCTTATTTCTAAGAAATGTGACGTTTGTATTATGTATTTCTTTCCACATTTGCATGGGATACTATATATGCTTTTGTTTTGTTCCTTTGGTAGAGATTATTTTGGGTTAGGTAGTAAGGGGTTGATTTTATGTGAAGGTATGAATACAGTTTTTTACAACAATCCTCATATTATTGAATAGGTTAGTTATTTAATTAGTAATTTCTGGCAGAAAAGAGAATGAAACAAACTTGCTGTTTTATGTTCTTTATGGGTGAAAGGTTAGAGTTAACATAATATTGTTTACTGTTTTAACTTTAGATACAAACCCTATCTATGATGTTTGGGTTGAAACCTTCCTGTTGATAGAATATGTTACAACACTGGTGTCAAAAGGGGGATTATTTTGGTAAAAGTAAAATTGAATTTTGACTAAACTTCAACTTTCAAGATGGCCACAAGAGCACAAAGGAAGAGAGAAAACTAGAGATGATAATACACTGGAAAGAAGAACAGAAAACCTACTAGAGATGATAATATACTGGAAAGAAGAACATAAAACCTACTAGAGATGATAATACACTGGAAAGAAGAACAGAAAACTTACTAGAGATGATAATACACTGGAAAGAAGAACAGAAAACCTACTAGAGATGATAATACACTGGAAAGAAGAACAGAAACCTACTAGAGATGATAATACATTGGAAAGAAGAACAGAAAACCTACTAGAGATGATAATACACTGGAAAGAAGAACAGAAAACCTACTAGAGATGATAATACAATGGGAACATCTCTAGTAGGTTTTCTGTTCTTCATAATACACTGGAAAGAAGAACAAACAAAAAGAGACAAAGAATTAGAATGAAACAGAAAATTTAAATAAAATCAAGAGATGAGAAATTGGAATTTAAAAGAAGAATTAAAAGAAAGAGGCATAATATTTAAAGAAGAATCGAAAACAGAAATGAGTGATAGAAGACAAGATTGATGAAACTATTAGTGATGTACAGAGGAATTACAAGAAAAAGATTGGAGAAGTACAGAAAAGCTGCAATGACAAAATTGAGGAAATATAGAAATATTATAACAGTAAAATCAATGAGGTATGACAGAACATCAGTGAGAGAATAAAACATTTGGAAAATTTATTGGTAAATGCAAAGATCAAACCAAACACACTATTTTTGCATCTGCCCAAGAGTTCCAATGCAAAACATCATTTATTATTAAATATTTAATAGATCCTAATTGGTCTACACCTATTACCACTACTTCTGTTGTTGCAGAACCTTCCTAGAGTAATCCAACCATATCACTACCAAATCTGGTTCCAGAATTTGGCTGGCCAATTCAAAAACATTGCCAATTGAGAAACCAATGGGCTATGATAAAAAGTTACCATGGAAGACATATCAGTATCAATTCAAAATTTGCAATGTCGGATTAAACAGTAACTCCATCTGATGATGATCTAGAAGAACCGAGAGGATTGATTAGACAACTATATAGGGTTTTTATTCATTACTATCAAGACTTACTCTACCTATGTGTTTTTCTAACATCAGTAAAAGGTGTTATAAATATAGTAAACCTGGCCATTACAGTCAAGACTGTGTGGAACCAAAGGTTGTTAATACACCAACTAGACAGTAACCTAAGGATGAGTCTTCAAGCACAACCAAACCAAATGAACAACGAAGGGTTAACCAAAGATTGGGAAACGCATATTAGCTGGATGTATGGGGCAATGTTCAGTTGAGAATACCACATCTGGCCCAAGTGAGATAAGAAATTCATTATTTAATGAAACCAGCCCATGGGTTTGTTGATAAAAACTTCAGGAGGGCATTGCCTTGGATGGAACCATAGAAATGCTTATATATTATCCTAAAGACCATGTGTTAATGAAGAGTATAAACAATGAAAAAGGGAAATCACAAGATAGTAAAGACGACCATCCTGAAATATAATACAAGATGTGACATCCACAAATGACAATGGAGAACTAATGTGGTCCAACAATCAGCTAAAAGATGCTCAGGAAATAAAGATACGAGTTTGAAAGCAATTATAAAGTGATCAAGAATAGTTCTGAAAAATCCTGATGGCAAATAATTGTACCATACAACCCAAAGACAGATGTATTGGCCACAGTGGGATTAACTATGTCTACAAGAGGGCTTGTTATGTCGGAAATAGGAAGATACCAATGGAGAGAAATATCAGCACTCCATCTCCAAAACTTTCCAACAGCTGAACACTCGGGTGTTAAGAAGATAATAAGAGAGAGAGTAAGAGAGTGCTTCTATTAAGTTGGGTACCAGGGATCTGTAGTAAATTGTTGTAAATCCTGTTAAGTATGCTGTGAGGATAAAAATCCATGAAAGAAACAATATGGACAGCTACAGTATTGTGTTGGACCACCACTTCGGAAAGTTGTTGTCAATATGCTTGATAACAGAGTAGCTGTGAAAATATATACATCATAGTTATGATGGACTGTTTCACCAAATGGTCAGGAGCATATGCTGTTACTAGCCAAGAAGCAGAAACTAGCAATGCTACTCGTCAATAAATTCGTTTTAACATTTGGGGTGCCTGTGGAACTACACACTCAGATCAGGCACGAAATTTGAATCAACTTTGTTTAAGGAAATGTGTCGGATATTTGGAATAAAAAAAGACCATGACAACTGATCTTCTAATGGAATGGCGGAGAGATACAACTTTTAAACCAATTAGCCATTTATCAGAAAAGATGGGATCAAGATCTTCCACTGCTACTTGTGAGTTATCAAACAGCAGTGCATGAAGTTACGGGTAACACATCATTGTCATTGATGTTTGGGATAAAACTGAAAGCACAATTGGATCAGCTGTACTCCCATTTAGAGGATAGTTACTCAGCAGAGTCTTACACAGAATATGTAGTGAAATTAAAAAACACCATTGATATAATACAGTATGTGATAAAATTAAAAGTCACTATGACGTTAATATTGATAAGACTAGAATCCATCAAGATGCCATGGTATGGCTGTACAATACTGCACGAAAGAATGGAGTACTGAATTCAACAGACATTGGGAAGAGTCATATTTTGTACAGAAAACAATCAATGTTGTGGTTTACAGAATCCAGAGGGACAAGCCAAAGGTTATCCACTGTGATTGTTTTTAGAAGTACGTAGGTGAGAGAATGGTCAACTGGGTACTCCAAAAACATCGTCAGGAGAAAGTCAACCTACCTATTGAAGAATCCATGGTTCCTGTCAAGACCACTTTCAGAGGATTAACAAGGATAGAGCTGCTTGTGGATTCGCTCCCTATTTACTTAGAAAGAACTGCTCTAGCAACAGGACAGCCAATGATGATAAGGATCAAGAGGTCAGCCATTTACATACCATGGGCTTTGGAAAGGAAACCCACCAAAAAGATTTAGTGAAAGGACAGATTATCGCAGTGATTTATTTTTGTATTAGGATTGTTCAAAGGACTTCACAGTCCATGATGGGAGAAGTGTTGTAAGCTTTGTATTTATTGCTTTAATTTATATGTTTTCTAGAGGGCGTAGGATATTAAGATCAAGTAAGCTCATACAAGTAGTCCTACAATGTTAATGATCAAGATACTTTACGAAATACGAGAATCAGTGAAGCAATGATTCAGTTTCTCGAGTTACAGTCAGTCAGTGAAATATTCATCTGAATAGTGAATGAGAATTTAAAGAAGTTATTGAGTGATTACGCATATTCAATGTTTGTAGTCTATTAAGTTAACCAGTTGGTTAGCAAAGACATCAAATATAATTAGGCGTACAAATAATTGTACTTGAAATTAAGCCAGAACTTGTGTCAACATGTTATAGAAGAAAAACTAATTAGTTATCTTCGTGTGGGCTGGTTCTCGCATAAATTTTACTAAATAATTATAAAAAAACTGCCAACGATAGAACACGTTACAAAAATATGTTAAAAACAGGAATCTGGAAAAATTGATTATAAATCTCTTCACCGTAATTGTAAACAAAAGCCCGACCAATTGGTAAGTATTATTTTGAAAATTATATAAACCTATTTCGGTCACAATATAAGAATAAGAAAGTAAACTTGTAATTTCTTGTTACAGCCTATGTTTCTTTAAAAATAGACCGTGAGGCCTGAAAACTAGTTTTATTGTTATTTGTGTTTAACAGAAATTAATTTTATATTTCAGTGCAATGAAAAACTTGATTTTCAATTTTTCGGTATAAAACATATGCGATTCTAATACACAAATGGCATATTCTACCAAAGTTTATCACAATTTAATGGGACCAGCAATATCATTTGAAAAAATATATATTGTTACGACATCGAGGTTACGTGATTAGTATCACGCCACGTCATTCTCGAACATTCACGTCTTTTCCTTAAATCTCGTGATCCTTCTAGATATAGTGTAGTCTTATATATATATATATATAT